TGAATGGAAAAACATATATCTTAGAATGTTCTTTAGTATATTAATATTTTAAAATAAAATGTTTCTTCAAATCAGTTTTTGTAAACTGATGATTTTTGTAAATTACGAAATAAAAATCAATATTCCCGATTCAATTTTAAATCATTCAGTCACTTTTAATTAGTCTTTACAAATTATAAGAAATATCAGAAAATAAGAAAATCACAAAGTTGTTAAAGAAACATACCTACTATCTATATGCTTAACGCCTCGAAAGAATAAAGAAAAACAAGAAATATAGAGAAATATGAATAATACTGTTGAGATATAAATATTGTTGAGATAGACAGATTAGCATAATCCATTAGAATAAAATATCTTGTGAACTGATTAATTTTTTTGATAATTTTATATTAAGATTTCATATAAAATTATTTATTTTTCATATAAAAATGTAATTTAATTATTTAATAAAATCATATATAATTTTATATAAAGGAAATATTGATTGATTTAAAAATTTTATAAAAATATTTTAAAAATTATGCTATAAAATAAGTTAATATCATATCTGCCTTCAAAAGCAATAGATATTTAATTGAAAAACATTCTATTAAAAGTTAAAAAATGATTTTATATATTTTTTTTTAATTTCGTCATTTCTTTTTTTTTCACCTCATTTATGTAAAATGCACGTACAAGTGCATATAAGCAATACTCAATATATATCCACATAAATTTAATAATTTAGTATATGTGTACACGTATGTTCATTAACATACATGTGCATATATTAAGTGTGGGAAAAAGTTCGTAGCGTTTTTAAATACCATCTAATCGGAAAAATGCCACGAATTTTTTTCCACACCTAATATGTATATGTAATAAATATTATATATCCATAATCTTATATGTTTATATATGTACCCATACAGCACAAATCAATCTAACAATATTGAAGCAACATTGTAAACATTGCAACAATGTTGCTGCAAATTTTATGCTATATAGGAAGCAATACTCAATATATATCGTATACAATATATCTCGTGCCTCATAACTCTTAATTAATATTTCTGGAAGTGAAAGAAGATAAAATTTTAATCTAAATGTTTTCCTAATTTTGGCTCAAATCATTATTTATCAAGTTATTAATGATTAAGGTTGATCTAGATTGCGCCCAGCCGGAATACGAAGGAGCACATCATATCAAAGAACTCCTCGCTCTTATTGTACATTCTCCCGATTACAATTTTATTATAATTTTTTATATTGACTAAATCTAATCTGATCGATCAACTTTAATCGTTAATAACTCGGTAAATAATGGTCTAACCCAAAATTGGGAAAGGAACTTTTAGTTTAAATCTACATAAGACGCAAAATTAAAATTTCATCCTTTTTCACTGCCAGAAATATTAATTAAGAATTGTGGGACATTCTATATATTCATATATGATTGCGAAATTAGTCGGTCGAACAATTTGAAGAAATCATCGATATATAGCCGATAATTTCATAAAATTGTAAATTTAAATGTAAACTGAGAAAACAATTTTTGTAAATTAAACTTCAGAGTCAAATGTATTAAAATATTTAAAAATTTCTATATACATATGTATGTATATATGTATAAGCAATACTCAATACACACACACACACACACACACACACACACACACACACACACACACACAAAATAATATAGTATACATACATATCTGTATATTACAAATTTAATAATCAATACATACCAATAATGGTGGATTATATCATCATTAAGACTTCTGCTTGTAGAAGCATTCTTCCTACTTGTTGACAATTCCTTTTCTAAAACCAAAGTAGCCCAAACATATTTTTTCAATGTCTTCTCAGTTGTTATATTTAATTTGTATTTTATAATCCAGATATGTAATTTTATTTCATTTTACAGATATAAAGAAAAATTGTTTTAAAGAATATATATGTTTGTACATAAAAATGAAATCATATAATTATACTAAATTGATGCAAAATAATTTTTTTAAATAAGTATATAAATACCTAATTGCTCATCTTGTGAGAAAGTGATTTTCCGTATTTCTTCAGATTTTTCTATTTCAATACGTTTGAATATTGGACATGCACCTTCATCTATAATTAATCATTTTTTTAAATTTATTGCATAAATTATACGAAAGTCTTCATTGACAAAATTAGAATTCTTCATCATGTTGAAATTGCAATTCTTCATTATTATGAAAATATTTAATTTGATCATATAATAACATATCACATTTAATATTAATAATATATCATTAATAACTAATTTTTCCATGATAAAAATATTAAATAATTATAAATATCACAAAGCTGACATGTTTTACCTTGTCTTCGCGGAAGAATTATATCATTTGGATTTATAATATCACATTCGATATTATTTGATGTAGTTTGATAATTTGTTGAAAGATTGTCTGCTTTAATAGTTATTTTAAGTTTTTTCATATCAGTTATACTTTCTGGACCATTAAATATCACTGATGTTTTCCATCTAAGGTTATTTAAAAAATAATATATCAATTTTAAGACATTCTTTTTACATTAAAAGTCAAAATGAAATAAGTTTAAGAAGAACATTAAAGTTATATTCAAATCGGGTGCAATTACATTTAATCCTTACAAAACCATGCTCAATTTGGCCTCATCCCTACCATTGTGGATCATTAAAATCCATTCGTTTTTACCTACTTAAAATGGTTCAAAAAATCTCTAAAAATTCACAAACATACATTCAACTTTCTAGAATAAATAATAAATGTTTAAACTTCGTTTTGAAAAATAAAATGTAATATAAATTATAATTACCGAAACACTTGTAAGTTGGAAAAAAATAAAGAATCGCTCAGTTATTACAATAGATGACCCATAATAGTAGAGTAAGAGATAATACTACATTTTATATTATATTTCTGATACTATTTATTATTATTTGCAAATTACAAAATTGTTATTTTTTTGCAAACTATTCAAATATATTTCATATAGCTTAATTATTAATATTTAATTCAAAATTTCTATATCTATTCTGTTATTACTCTTTAGAATGCTCATAGTTAGGAGAACTAGTTTTTCTTCGTTGTGGATTATCGCTCTTGCTTTGCTGTAAAGACTCTTGCTTGTCAGAGTTTTTCATTAATTCAGCTTGTTTCCTTTTTTCTTCATACTCATTAATCTTTCTTGATCTTAGTTTTTCATATTCTATCAAACGCTCTTGATCACGATGCCATTTCTCTCTTTTCAACCTTAATCTTTCTAACTGTTCTGATGTGAATTGCCACTTTTTGCGAGAATCCATTGTTATCGCTATAAACATGCATCCATAGAACAATAAAATATTTTTTTTAATTTTATAAAAAGTTAAACAGAATTTGTTAATGATTCAATAACATTAATTAATACAATATTATAATTTTCTACTCAATAATGTAACTGTTACATATAATAAGTGTTATATTTCATTTATATCGAGAAAAAACAAAAAATTATATTGATATAATATTATTGTTGGTAATTATTTAGAATACGGACTGCACTGTCGATTTTGATGAAATTAGGCTTATTCGATGCGTTTTTTGCTCGAAATGAAGAATCTGTAAGGCCAGAATCAGAAATTTCACCAATGAGTACAAAGAAGTTTTGGCTCCTTTTGTTCTGATTGATCAAACTTCAATCTTTCAATCTTCAATCTCAATCTTCAATGCGAAGTCTGATTCCGGCTTAAGGGGCTCCGCACAATAAATGGAACAAGGAACAGAGAACAGAGAATAAGAATTTTAACTTATCAGAAATCATGTATCGTGGAATGCGCAGTTTCTAGATTGAAATTCTTATTCTCTGTTCTATTTCTTACTCCTTATAAGATACAGCCACAATAGAAGGAATAAGAAATTAAGAATGAAGAATAAAGATTTCAACCTATCAGATATAGAATACACCGGAATACACGGTTTCTGATAAGTTAGTATCGTTATTTCTTATTCCTTCTATTATGATTGCACCATTTTTATGCGAGACTTCTAAGAAAAAATCTTGAGGCCATTCTACATTGGTAGTCGTATCATAGCGTCGGAAGCGTAAATATCATCGACTTTAAAATTGAAGCATCGGATTGAAGCAACAAGCTGAAGCAACAAGCTGAAGCAACAAGCTTGTGTCTTGCAACGTCTACGATATGACTAATGTAGAATGGCCTTTAGAATCATGGCTTGGTCCCGCGAATCACAGCTTTAGGATAAAATATCGCACTTATACATCAGAGTTTTGGGAATTGATTCTGTATCTTGAAACAAGGTGAAAATTACAAAAGTGAATTTACTAGAATACTGATAATTTCATTGGTCAACACCTAGTAAATTTGCTCATTTTTGTAATTTTCACCTTGTTTGAAGATACAGAATCGACTCCCTGATTGAACGGCTCGTTATTCCCTATTGCCTGTGTCTATTGTGTTTAAGTCTATGGACTGCTCCATCATATCTAAGGTTACGTTCCAAAACTTCCTCTCCTAGGAAAATTTTATTCTATATGCTATAGTATACGTTACGTGTACTATATATTTCAAATAAAATTTTTCTTGGAGACGAAGTTTTGGAATGTAGCCTAAGTAGTATGGTCGACAAAAATGGGAGAGAGGGAAGTGGAAGAAGTCTGTGTCTCTTTCTACTCAATGATATAACGAGAGAGAATGAGAAGGAGAGTGGCCGTCTTTTACGGTTCCTCTCTCTCATTTTTGTCATATTACTTAGATACGATCGAGCAGTCCATGCTCTAAGGGAAAAGAAAATTATCACATTTTTGTTATAAAGACAAACGTAAAATACGATTGAATAATTTTTTTTATGCATATGTTTATGCGGTTATGCAAATTTGTGTGGAATGGCTCTAAAACAGGGAGCACAGACTTTTGCATAACGCATACATATAATGCATAAGAAAATGTACCAATTAAAGTCCTTCGTTTCCTTCCTTTCCATGAAATAAAAGAACTCTGATTGATTGAATTTCTTATGCTTTGTGTTATACGTTATGCAAATCTGTTCCCCACTTATGTCTTTATTATTTTGCTTCTGATAAATTTTCTAATCTCAATAAGTTTAATGCTTAATATCTCGATTCGCGGAGCTGATCTAACGTTTTTTCTTACGGATTCTTTCTTCTTTCATTTCAAACAAAAACGCGTCAAATGAGCCTAATTTCATCTAAATCAGAGGTGCAGTACATATTCTAAATAATTACCAAAGTATTAAATAAAAAAATTAGAAAATGCATGCTTATAAAATATTTGATGGTAAAACATATCCGAATGAAAAAATGCAAAATATCTCATGTTTTTATTTAATATTTTCAACACGCAGAATGATGCTAGAAAGCCTAACCTGAAAGTGGAGTTAACGTGAGCACATGACTATCTGAAAATATCAGCTATATCTCTAATAAAAATAATTATTTTATACTGTTAATTTTACCAGTGCACAAAGAGTGGACGATTCGCGAAGAAATACTTCTTCTTTTTTCGTATAGAAGTGAAACGCCACGTGGTTTGAACAAAACTAGTAAAGGACTAAGACATAAAATGGATTATGCAAGTTAATGCAAGTCACGGAATAATAAGGAGATCAAACTCGAAGTAAAAGTAGGTTTGAAACACGATTTCAGAAAATCTATGGAAAATCGAGATAATGTGATTTTAGTGCTATCGCGTCTTGCGGGAAAAGTTAGAAGTATTGTGGTCACGTGGTTACAGGTCACACGACAGTCAGAAGCAATAAGGTTGTAACACTTTTTTTTAATGAGTTTAAGAATTAAAGGCTAGTATTCATAATCAAATTATATATTCAAGACCATCTTAAGTACAGTTTTAAGAAGTCACCAATCAGAGGGCTGCATTAGCGTCTTAAGACATTATTCAAGACTGTTTGAAATAAAAATTGATTATGAATATCGTCCAAAGGGATTGTATACATGGAGCTAGCTAAGCATTGAACCATCTTAAGAACCAATCACAGAAAATTGGGTCATGTGATCTGTTAGTATCTTTTCTATACGTTACGGTTTTCCATTGCAAATTCACTGCGTATAAGCAATACTTTTAGGGCTACATTTCAAAACTTCTTCTCTGAGGAAAATTTTACTCGAAATATATAGTACAGGTAACGTATACTATAGCATATAAAGTAAAATCTTCCTCGAAGAGGAAATTTTAGAACGTAGCCTAAATGGAAAAATGGAGAATTAGCAGTGTTATAATAGAACAGGCTTAAATAGGCACAGATAACAAGGAATAACAAGCAATCAGAGCTCTGATGTGTAAGTTCGATATTATATCTCAAAACTCTAGCCTCTTTTCACCGAGGATTTAATCCAGATCAGAATGTAAGACCAACCAACTACAGTCGTGCATTCCCCTGTCATTCGATTGTAACAGGACAATACTCGACTGTAGTTGATTGGTTTTTACATTTTAATCCAGTTTAAACGGTGGAAACTAGGCCAGTGATTGGACAGCTCGTTATTCCCTGTTCCCTATGCCTATCGTGTTTAAACCTTATGTGATAAAAATGGGCTCGAAACACTATCAGAAAACTCATGGAAAATCGCGATTTTATTTTTTGCCGTTGCGAGAAAAGTTGAAAGTATATATCGTATGATAACGCATATGGAATACGCACGTTTTATTTTTAACACAGAAATTCCAATTTATATAAAATTTAATTTTATTTGATTAAATAGTAAATGCATCAATATTAATTGAAAAATACATACATTTATGCAATCATAAATTATCATTAAATTATCGTTTTTAACCGACATCAAAAAATTTTGAAATTAAAAAGAATAAAAATTGGCCTTGAAATCTAAGACAACTTTCCTTCTCAGAATGTATACTACGCATGAAAATATACAAATTTACAGAATTACAGGAAAATGGAAGGAAAAATATTTATCAAAATATTCTAAGTTGAATATTCTAAGTTGACAGTTTTCTCTGACAGGAGCATTTGAATTTGTTCTTCTATAGTTTTTAATAAGAGTCATGACATAAGAGTGGAAGTACGCCATTGCCGGGTGCTGGCCGGAAACAGCACAATTCCACCATGGTTGATATCCGATTTCGCGTTCGCGCATTTTTGTACTATACATGAAACAGTTACTTATATTAATTCACAGATACTACATCCGCAATTCTATACAACGCTTTTCCGACACTGTTTCGAGTCCATTTTTTCGAGATCGGCTGCTCAAATTTGATCTCCTTTTTATTCTATGAATTATAGGAACTCTACTATAATCATAATCAACTGGCTTGAAAAACTTGTCGTACGACAAAAATACACAAATGAAATAATGGCCTTATTCCACTAATCGCGCTCAGTTGTGCACATCGATTAATTTTTGTGCCCTTCATTAGAATTCATCCGACAAAGCGAAATTTAATATCTATCATATCATATGTAATCGTTCTTAAGAATGTACATCGGAAAAAATATTTGATTTTGCTAAAATAAATGTAACCTTCAAAAATATATTTCCAAAAATACCAGCGTCAAATTATCACCGGAAATCTCAAATAAATTATAACTCATATAATGCAAAATAAAATGTTATAATTGAACTGTTTGAAGATCTAGAAAATGTATTCCAAAAAAGTTATATAGAAATATTATTAGATATCAATATCTAATCGATCATATTTAGCGCTTTTCTACTTATTTAATTTAAAAAATTCTAAATTAAATAAAAAATAGAAAATTGACACAAAATAGAATCTACTTCAAATAAATTTAAATCAATTAAATTTTTAATATTGTTCTAGATGTAGATTAGGTATTTTAGATTAGATGTATATTAAATGTGTCTTTTAATAAATGGACTTATTGTTAAACATAAATTTCCTGTAGAATCAATTAGAAAAGATTAAGATGTTTATGAAGACAATTATTTATAATTTTTCGCCTTTTATTTAAAGACTGTGATAAAATTATGAATTACAACAGTGTTGATGTTACCAACGCTTGTTGTTTACTTTTTAATTGGCTGCTTGGTAGGAGCAGCGGTTTTCGTAGTATCTTTGTCAACTTTAGCTTTTGAGGTCTTTTTCACGGTTGCCTTGTATTTAGCCAGTTGCTCTTTTCTTCTTTTCAAAAGTGCGATGGTCTTCATCGTTGATGGTTTCTTTGATAATTTTATCTGTAATATCCATAAATTAATCGATAAGTCAAAATTTTGAATACAAACTGTTTTTTGCAATTCTCCTTCCATACTATTACATCTAAAATGTATATAATAAAATAAAAATCATACAGTTAGTATAGTACATACGCCTCGTTTTTCAGCGAGAAGCAAATCCTTTTCACGCTGACGTTTTTGCGCAGTCAGAATGGCAGCACGTTTCAGAACTGCAGCATACGGGTTGAGACGCAGCATAGCCCGTGTATTGGTCAACGGATTCAATTTCTTTACTCTACGCACCACCTTCTTCCTATAATTGCATTAAATAAAACATATCAGTCATATTATTTATCATGAATGATAGAATGGGCTTCTCGAAATAGCACTTTAATGCGCTATCAAATGAAAAAAAAGTATATTTATGCATTTAATTGCCGATATATATATAAAAGATCTTTTTTTCTTCTCCTATAATTACCTAGGAGCTCTCAAGACTTTGCGAATTTCCTCAGACTTTAGAAGTCTAGATAGATCCGTGTTGGCCATTTTAGGAAATGGTAAGTTATATCCTTTCTTAAGCTGTGATTCTTTACGCCAGGTTCCATAAAGAGCATCCAACTGCTCAAAAGCAGACTTCGTCCAGATTACAAAGCGTCCGACGTGACCGCCAGGTGCCAACTTCAACAGATTCATCTTATTGATGTTCATCAGAGAAACACCTGGGATATTGCGGAATGCTTTACGAATACCCTAGAAATTATAATGTTATTTATATAGCAATTTTTTATAATTCCTAGGTTTAATAATTAAGTTTGCATATAAATGTGAATAAAATTTATTTTAATTCGAATTCTGTTTACAGATTAAATTACCAGACAATACAAAGAGAAAACTTTAAAAAAAATTACCTGATCTTGGCCATATACAATTAGAGGTCCACGTCGCTGAATGCGTCGGCGATTACGCATTTTACCTTTACCAGCACGAAAACGTTGAGATTTATACACCTAATAAAAAATAAATGAAATATAATTTAATAATTTGGTTGAAGATTTAGAAAGAACTTATATAAATCACATAGATTTGATTAATTGCCTCTTTTTGGTAAGAATTTTAGGGACTTTTCTGTAAGCTCGATCTACATACAAGATACAGAATGCGAGTTGCAGGTCGCGAACTTGTTGCGTCAGTCCGACATATCAATTTTAAAAGTGACACTTTGAAATTGGCTTGCGACCTGTAACTTGCGTTCTGTATCTTAAATCGGGCTTAACTCTTAACTGTAAACGTTACATGTTAAGAGAATAGGTTTCTTAATCTTTTAAAAAATAAAAATAATCCCCTAATAATTCCCTAACCAATAGGGAGTGAAGGCCGATTGAAATTGTTTTAAAGAGAAACTGTTTTAAGATTTTTAATCATTTAAATAATTCTATGTGAATTTAGAGAAGAAATTTGTGTGCATTGCATATATTGCATGTTGCATACATATGTCGCTAATTGGCCAATTTAAAAATAAAATATTCGCATTGGCAAAGCAGGTGAAAAATTACTAGACACCAGCTGATGTAAAGTGATATGTGCAATCGGGATGTAGGCAAACGAGATCTTCTCGTGAATTTGTATATACTATATATATCTGTATACATATATATTATATATTTTGTAGTTTGAATTATTTTATTTATATATTTTATTTTGTTATTTGAATTGTGCGAAAATCTTTTTGGATTTTTAAAATGCAGCAGACCTAGTAATATCACAAATTAAATTTAATTGCTCAATAGGTATCAAAGAGATCTTGATATGTTGGAAATCTATAAATAAATTTATCTATTGCAAAAAAATATTACCTCGGCTAGATTTCTAGCATTCTATGCAAGCACACTAAACCTTTTTTTTAATAAACTCGAATACTTATAAAAAGTATTGTACAAAGAAAATTGTTTGGTAATTCATACCCCTTGCTAGTGAGCGCAAATCAACTAGTAAAGAACGCCTGAATACCATATTTCTCTAGCACCTATTAGGAGCATCTAAGCTTAATTTTGTTTAGCAAAGATGCGGACATTTATTGGTGCACATGAATAGAAGGCAACGCAGAAGAATCTTAAAGATTAAAAGAAATTAAAACCTTTTGGATATCATTCCAAGCCTTAATGCGTCTCAAAAAGATGACAGCTTGCTTAGTTTTCGTGTATTCTTGAATCTTATCAGAAACAACGAGCGGGAATTCCGGAACCTCCTGGATCAAGTGTCCTACATATAAGTATAAAAATATAAAGTATATCACAGCCTGTTTTTTATTTTATTCAGAAATACTTAAATTATTTTTAAATATATTAGAACGTGATACAATAACTTTTTGTAATTCGTTCAAATTATTAAAGAGAACAGAAAAATATTTCTATATTCGATATAAAAATTGCAATACTAAAATATTTCTCTAAAAAAAAAATTAATAAAATTTCATAAATATTTCATTTTCTTTAATAAAAAAATATTATCTACATAAAAGACATATACCTTTAGATTGGACAAGTGCAGGAACACCAGAGGCGGCAATGGCAGAAACGAGAGCATAACGCTTCTGATTGACGTTGACATGATGATGCCAACGACGCCATGGCTTAGTAGGTGCAAACATACGTCCGCCTCGGCACATATTACCAAAAGCACCCTGACCAGAACGATGGGTACCACCGCCACGTACACGAGGTATACGGGCCACAGCACGTCCAGTACCCCATGACTCAGCAGAGGTTTGATGACCTGCAAAAAATAAAAACTATTATCTTTTTATACTTATTTATTATTCAAATATTGTAATCATCATCGTAATAATAATGAAATTAATAAAATGAAGATAATAATGGCTTAGCAGAAAAAACAATTGTAGATTGTTGTGATTCTTTAACATGATTGCTATTTGTCTTTGAATCTTTGCTGGATCTAAATGTCTGATTATATAAAAGAATTTTGCAAGAGTTACAAAGCTGCTTTTTCTACTGAATACAGTCATCGATATTTACCGGCTTCTTTAGAAACACAGTACGGTTGTCTTTTGTTTGTAGAAATCAACTGATGGATAACATTAACGATATCAGGACGAATTGGTGCCTTGAAGACAGATGGCAGGGAAATTGTATCACCTGATGCCTCATTCTTGTCAGAGTAGACCGTAATAAGTGGTCGCGCCGTTGATAACGACTAAAAAAAAAAAATGTTATAACAATTCAGATAAATATATTATTTTTTCTTATTTTCCTATTTTCAAATTTTTTGAAGGGTCAAAGTATCATGCGTATCAATTTAGTATTAGAATCTCTTTGGGAAGCAGAAAATCGCTTACATTTTTGCATTTGGTAGTTTGCATTCTTACTCCTTAGAGTTTGTTAACATTCGAGAAGATTATTATTTGAATGATGAACACGAAAAATTGCGTATATGAAGCGCAAATGGGATCGAACTCGGATCCACAGATCACAAATCAATTGCACTGAGCGGCAAACCATTCGGCGCCCCAGATGAATATATAATAATGTTGTTATTTATAAGAATAATGAATCATATTAATACTTTCCCTTCAATTTGAGTTTATTTAAAAATATCGCTGAAAAACATTCTCAAAAATTCAGATTTCATAAATGTCTGTAATACTATACAGCACATGGCTACAAAAAATATATGACATATTGCTACAATTAAAGATTAAAAAAAATTGTTTTTGTCTGCAGCATTAGGATTTTTTCCATTAAAATTACGCTCATTCATAACATAATTTTTACTACTAGTGATATATCTTGAAATGTGTAAAAATATGAAAATGAGAAAATTTATTAGAATATTTGTAATATCATTAGTCAATATGTACACTCTAAAAAATCAGATTTAACAGAAGAGTTTACTAAATTAAAAAAATCAGATTTAACAGAAGGGTCTATTAAATTTAACTA